TATCTTCCATTAGATTCTCTTTAGCTTAGAACTTTATTTTGCGCTATTTGTATAATAGATTAGCTTTGTATTACATTTTTAAAAAGATTATTTTCATTCTGGATACATAGATAATCATTATATATTTAATACATCTAGATTTAGTACATTGTTACTCAAATGATCACTATATGTATCATAATTATCAATTTAGACTATTAATATTTTTAATTATTTTTATTATTAATGTTTTTTTATAAATTTATTCATTCTTCTTATTATTATATTTATATTATTATTTATATTATTATTAATTATTGAATTATGATTAGTTGCCCTCTAGAGATGCAAATTAAGTTAATTAATTCTGTTTAACTATATGTATTTTAAAATAAATTTTATTATTAATTTATTCACTTTTTGTATTCATTTCTTTTGCTATAAATAAGATCTCTTTGTTCTGTAATTTTCTCTCAGATCTGAATACTTTTAAATAATAAAAACAATTATAAGTTATAAAATTAAAATTATTCATATCATATTTTATCTTGTTTATAACTATTAATAAAATAATCTTATAGTTAGAGAGTTTAGTCAGTATACTAAATCTTTTGTTTTAGTTATAGTATTTGATATTTTAGTTTTAGATATCTTATTTTTAGTTTAGTTTTTGTGATCATAACTTTATTTTTATATTTTTGTTTTACTTCATTTTTGTCTTGTATTAATATAATACTCATAAATATTAATACTAGAAAATTTTTAGAATAATTATTATCCTCTTAACCTTTATAAATAATTCAGTTTTCATCTTTAAAACTTATTATAAATTATATTCATGGTAAAACCTACCTTTCAAAGTATAGTTTGTAATATTAATTTATAAAAATTTCTTGATTTAAGATAAAGTAATTTAAATATTTAATATATTACTTGATAAGTTTATATTTCTTGAGCTTTATATAAAGTTTATATTTATAGAATTTAGATAGGATAATATGAAAATAATTAAGATATTCTTTAGTATTATTAAGATATATTATAATAAATTTATCAAAATAGTTATAAAAAATATTATTTATATAAATTATAAAAGTAATAAATATATTTATAAAACTAAATAGTAAGACAAGAAATTCATAATAATTATATCTAATTCTAAATATAATTTTGTAAATATTGACTTCTTTAATTTTAATTTGATAATAATCAGAATATAATATAATTTATTACAAAATAAATTGAAAAAAATAAAAATAAATATTAATTAATTATGATAAAGTTTCTTATAATCTAGCTTAAAGATTTTTCATAGCTTATATTAATTTTTGAAGTTTTGTATGAAAAAATAAATATATTAAAAGTATTTATAAAATTAAATTAATACTATTTTTTATTATTATATCTTTTTTTGTTAAATAATATTATTTCTAATCTGATTTTTATTAATACTTTTATAAAGCTATTAATATCAAATAATTTATTATTTTCAAGAATATAAAACTAAAAATTAGCTTAGATCTTTTAAAAAAATATATCAATTATCATAAATTATAGAATTCTATTTGCAATATTTACTAAAATATTATTATTTACAAGTTATTATAGCTATATATAGTTAAAATTAAAAATATTTTGATTAATAATTATCTAAGTTAGATAAAAAAGTAAAATAATAATATTTATAAGTTAAAATTCAAATAAATAAATATTTTTAATTAGAAATATAAATATATTTAACTAATAAATATTTATTTATCTTTAAGTAATTATTAATTTTTATATAAGAATCAGAAATAGCAGATTATTATTAAGAAGTTTTGTCTAATAAATATTTATTCTAATTTTATTATCTTATTAAAATAACAGATAAAAAATAATTATTATATTTATATTCTGAAATTAACTAATATATAAAATTATATTTTGTTCTTTTATGATTAGATTATTATAATTAATATTAAGATCTTGATATTATTCTTGAAAAGATTAATAAATCTTTAAAAACTTAAATTCTTTCCATATTTTTCTAATAATATTGACAAATAATAATATAAAATTATATAAAATTTATAAAGATTAACTTAATATTCTAAATAAATAAATATTTAAAAATTGAATATATTTATTTAGTAAATTATATCAATAATTTTTAATTCTTATTTTTTTTTAGTTATATTATATCTTATTTAATATAATTAAATATATTAATAATAAATTATCAGAAAATTATATATATTTAGATTATTTCTTAAAATTATAATGATTTCAAGTTAAATTATAAGAAATTAAGTTTTTAAATTCTCAAGATAATAATTACAAACTTGAAAATCTTAATAATAAATATTTACTTAGTAAAAAATTAAAAACTTTTAATAATTTAGTAAGTAAATAATAAATAATACTTATTAATAATTTTTTTGCAAAATAATAAACTAACTTCTTTATTTTAGCTAATGTCTATAATTTTTCAAGAGATTATTGCTATCATAAATAAAGAAAATATGATTAAAACTAAGCTTATAACTATTAGCAATTCATTATTAAATTTTATGAATAATTTTAATTATCAAAATTATTGTGATTATAACAAAATATTAGAAACCTATAAAATAAACTTGAAAAAAAAGTAAAAAAGAAACAGATACATAAAATTAATATAATAATCTTGGCTCTTGGCCAATAAGCATTTTAATTTTTTGATTAATTATAATTTTTATTTTATTTATCAATCAGCATTTAGAATTTTAACCAATTAGTATTATTTAATTTTTTGATAATTAGAATTTTAAAATCTAGAATATTATATATTGATAATTATTACTATAAAAAACAATTCTATATATGGTAAAACACCAGACTGATAATAGTGATCCTAACTGGTTAAGATTTTTGTAACCAGTTAACTGTTTAAATTAAATAGTTAAAGTCAGTTTAACCAGTTTGATTAATTTTCTTATATAGAAGTTAATATTAATTGGCTAAATAATAAATATATGACTTATAATATGTCATATATGACTATATAAAATGGATTTTATTTAGGATATACTGCAAAAATATTAGAATTTTATTTAAAAAAAAGAATATCAGATAAACTTGTTGAATTAAGTCAATTACATTTTTCAGTTAATGTATTTCCAGCTATTGAAAAAAGATATTCAGAAGGAACAGAACTTGCTGGAATTAAAAGATAATAATAAGCTTATTATATAAGAAAAGAAAAGGTAGTAAAATGAGTTTTCTACTATGTGATTAAACAATTTTTTTCAGAAGGTAATAAGTCAGGAAGATTGAGATTAAAGATGGCTCCTCAACTAGTTGTGACTTGTAGCAGCCAATTAGAGAATTGTGATAGAGTTACAACAGCTAATTAGAAAATTGCAACAGAATTGCGACTAATTGCAGCTCTCATCACTAGTTAAGATAAAGATCCAATTCAATATAAGATGGTTGTGATAAATTTATTGTATTTAAAATATTAAATAAAATAAAAAAATCTAACATTTCAGAAGAATCATCATTATGCAAAGAAGAAGAAAGTGGTTCAGAATTAATAAAGGATTTTAATAAGGATAGTGTTTGTTCTTTTTTCTCTTTTAATATGAAAGCTAGTGATTTGAATCTTGAATTTAATAAAGATGCCAAAAGATCTAATTCTTTTGGATCTTTCCATCATAATTTCATAGATTCAAGAATTATATCATGAACTTCTTGAACTATTAATTCATTAATATATAAATAAGAAATATGATAAAGATGAATAAAAAGATCTTTAATTATTGGATACATTGCTAATAGAGTGGAATATATGCTGTCACTTAAAAATCTTGTTGCTTTTTCAAATGAACGTAATAGGTAAATAAGTTCTTCTACTTTTTTTTAATCATTAAAAGTTAAGAATAAAATAGCTAATTTATTATTATCTTCATGAATTTGTTAATTATCTTCATGTTATATTGCTTTATATAATGCTTTGATCAAATATTTGAGATAGATAAGTCTTTCCAAAACTTTTAAAGTTGAATTTCACCAGGTAGTGACATCTTAAATTGGTGTGAGAGCTTCTTTTGCCAGATTCAAAGCTTTTTGAATTTGAAAAAACTGAGCTTGATATTTATTATGATAGACAAGAAATAAATTGAGAGCTTTTGCATGGGTAATAAGATCTTTAATATCAGAACAATGATTTAAATCATTAGAAACTGCAAGATGAATAGTATGTGCAGAATAGGGAATAGATTTTATATTCATATTTTGAAGTACTTTTAAGATTTTTGCATCATTATCTATAACTTCTCCAATAATTTTATTATACAAGCTAATTACCTATCTATCAAATATATCAGAAAGTTTTGTAGTAATATTTTCTCCTGAATGATCATACAATATTTCCTTAATCATAAGTAAGGCTTTGTATAATTGAAAATTTTCAGTTAACCAATAAATAGTAACACCAATATATGATTGGTGAAAACCAGTCCAAAGATCTGTAGTAAAACTGGCTTTTTCCATGATATGATCAAGTAGTTTGACTAGTTCTTGTCTTGCAAACTCAACACTTTGTCCAATAAGTAATTTTATCATTGTATCACAAGGTGGTTCATAACTAGAATGTAGTGAATGACAAAATTTTTTAAATTTTATATTTTTTAACAACATAAATGATTGTAAGTCATCCACAATAAATTCAAGTAGTCAAAAATTAATATATTCTCATTTTGTTGCAGAGAGAGGCTTAATATTTTTCCATGATTGTTGAAGTGTTTGTTGTTGAGATGATTGTGATTGCAATTTGGTTTCTGGCTGAAGAGATTTTATATCTTTCGTAATCAAGTGTGTCTTTGTAAGATGATAGGTATAGGATGATGTTGAGGTATTAAGAGAGTAAAATTGTGAACATTTGGCAATGCTACACATTCCAATGCCTTCATTTTCATCACGTTTAAACCATCGCCAAATCTAACTAACATCAATTCTTGTTTTTTTCTTTTTTTTGTAGGTTTGCGTTGATTAACAACCCAAGAACTAGTAGCCACAGCAGAAGGTGATTGTTCATGTATAACCTTTGTCTCTACGTCAGTGTTCTGTTCTTCTTCACTTTGAATACTCTTATTATTAGAATTTTCTTGTGTAGACTGAATATCATATCTACCCATAAGCTTAGCAATATCAAGAGGTGCAGGTAAGGAAATAGAACTAGTTAATGGTGAGTGATCAGATAAAATATCAAGAGTTTGTTCATCTTCTGAAGAAAGTTGGAAGGAAGTAGTTGTAACAGATGATTGTTGTTCATCATTAGATAACGGTGAAAAAATAGAATTTTCAGCTTGACGAAAGGTGTTATAGTTTCCGATATAGAAGAAGAATCTTGTCTTTGAACTGTCCCAATAACTTCATCAAATATACTTGTACTATTCCTGCCATCCTTTTTAAATTTTTCGCTATGTGGTTCGTAGCTTAAGAACTTCAAAGACTGGCTATTCTTTTTGCGAGCATTTTTTCAAGACATTATTGACGTGACAGATTTTTCTTGCACGGCGTAATGAGTATTTCTAAATATGAAAGGTAGTACTTAATCATGATTAACCGCTTTGAGAAAAACTCTAACCGGTTAAGACCTAACTGATTAGGATCACTACTTGCCTTGCTTTAACGAACTCCTAAATATGGAAGGTAATACTTAACCACGGTTAACCGCTTTGAGAAAAATCCTAACCGGTTGAAACTTTTTAAGCGGTTAACCGGTTAAGGTCTAACCGGTTAGGATCACTAACTGATAAACAAAATTCAGACAATACAACATCCCGACAGTTCATATTATCGGGATTTATTGGGTTATGAGCTGTCGGGATTTTGTTTGTCCGGCTATGAGATGTCAGGATTTTGCTCGCTATAGTAATTTATCATAATCAAAAACTTGATATATGAAATTTTCTATCTGATTTTTTTGATAGAACTATAAAGACTGCACATAAAAATTTGATTATTTTAGGGTTTCCATTAGTATCATAAAAATATCATGATAGTGGTTGACAACGTAGAGAAACATACCATTTATTAGAAAGATGCCGACGATGTTAATACAAGCATAAGCAGAGAAAGGAAAGCAACAAAGAAAACGACACTTTTTTTGAAGTGACGGAATGCACATCTTGTAATTTCAAAAAACAAGAGAAAGGATTTTAATACAGATTCGATAATAGACCTTCCTTTTGGCAAAATCCAAGAGACATCACTCATTTATTGCTGGAATATCACCTATTTCTAAACCTACACAATCAGTTTTTGGAGCTTTTTAATGTTCGTTTTACTTATCAGAACTTGCTTTGTACTGGTACGTCATGCGCGACCTTTACATTTAGTGATGACTATCATGTATTAAAAAAAATTGAAACGTATGCATGTACACGTATACCGTAATCACGTATGCATTTTCAGATGCATTTACAATGTACAGTCGCCACAAAAAGTAACGCCCGATTTTCAATTATCATAAACTTAAAATATAATTTCGATTTATTTTATTTTTTCATATTATACATAAAAAAATTAAATTAATATTTTGTTGGCCCTCTTGCCTCCAATACCGCGTTAATTCTTCTTGGCATTGAGTCAATAACCTCCCTAAGAATATTGACATCAAATTTCGACCACTCCTCCTTTAAGGCAGCTTTGAGCTCGTCCACAGTTCTTGGAAAGCTTTCGCGCTTTTGAATATTATCCTTTAACAGCTTCCAAATATTTTCTATAGGGTTAAGGTCAGGGGAATTCGCTGGCCAATCCATAATCTTGATTTTCTTTTCCTCAAACCACTTTTTAACCTTGATTGCAGTATGAATCGGGCATTATCTTGCTGAAACATTATTTTTTCACCCATTATTGCGCAAAGTTTATTGTGAAATGGTAAAAGTTGAGTCTCTAAAATTCGAAGATAAGTATTTATATTGATTTTTTCTTTTTTTTTATATTCGTCGCAAATATTAACGGTCCTTTCGTTTCTCCTGCGAAACATCCCAAACCATTACCGAGCATCGACCGCTTTTTGAAAGTGGGTAATAGGCACCCTCTCACCCGTATTTCGCCATACTCTTATTTGTCGTGATTGTTTTCCAATCTCCACACTAATGGCATAAAAATTGGTATAAAAAAACATAAAAAAAAGGGGAAACGACGACATGTACTGTACATGTATAAAGTTATTGATCTTGTTACACATACAGGTCGGGCGTTACTTTTTGTGGCGACTGTACATGTACACCTTTATTATGTACATGTACCCTGAATGCGCTTTCATAGTTAAAATTTACTTGATACATTTTTGAATTATGCATATCTATAAAAAATTATCCTTCATGTACTGTACATGTGTACTCTGAACAATGCAAAACACTATATACGCCAACAGGCCCATCAAAAAAGGATCAATTTTAAATTTCCTAATTTAGAGTCGGGATAAAGGGTAAGTAAGCTATTTGGTGAGGAGACAAGACTATATGTAAAATTGCCTTCCCGATACTTTTAGATTAATACATCTAGTCCAAGACAGATTTATGTCTTTGAGTCGGATTTGTTTTTCCGGGTTGATCAAACAAATTTGTGCTTTGTACATCTTTGAATTATGCACTTCAATAAAAACTGAATTCGCTTTCATAATCACACATGCATGTATGATACCAGCGCAACAATTTTTAATAAAGTTGTATATGCATATAAGATACACATACTCAGGAAGCGATTTCTGATAAATAATACTGGTAAAAAACTAAAGAGAATAAAAAAAATCATGAAGTCTGTTATAAAGATCTTTTTCTGCTTTTTGGTGGTATTTGTAATCTTTGGAGATAATTATGGGGAAGGTGTGTTTTTTATTATTATTTTGATAGCAAAGTATTTGACATTTTAATAAGATAATTGAAACTTACGCACCTGAAAATAAAGCCAAAGCTATCGTAAAACGTGCACCCGAACCTCCAGCTGCAAACAGTGATTCAGCTATTATTGAAATAGACATTAAAATTGCTTGAACGGAAAATTCTTCATAAAATATATAATGGATTGTGGTAAGATTTTTGCAACAATTGTAGATGTAATATCTTCATCCTTTCTTCAAATTAGTGATTTACAAATTCGTTCTCTTTTTTTAATTACAAGATGAGCATTCCATTATTTCAAAAAAGCGTCGCTCTCCTTGTTTCTGTTTCTTTCTCTGCTGAATATGTATTAATATTGTCGGAATCTATATACATGTAATACATATGTTATTGGTAAATTTCTTAATCCAAATATTTACTCTTTTGTCAGCTACTATCATGAGGTTTTTCGATTTTTCAATCGTATTCTAGGATCCCAAACTTATCCTTCTTCTAAATTAATTAAATATTTACATGACATGTTAGTTTGCATTGGAATTTGGTATAATATATGAACCGTTATATACATGTTGGTCCAAACTGACCCCAGTTTTAAATGTTTCATAACTGAATTACACGCAAATCAATGTCGCCCTTTTTTTAAATATTGTTGTGCACGATTCTGCTTTATGTCATCTTCATAAAAAAATGTGCTATTTACACAGATGGTTTCTTTTAATACAATAACCAAGATATGAATCGATTAAATGAAAATTCTCTATAATCATTTATAAAGTGAACTCGGCCTAATATATATTTTGTAGTAAACATGTTTTGAAACAATTTATAAAGCAACCTGACCATTAAATAGAAAATGCGTTCATGAGAATCTAAATGATGATGTTGAATCACATTATTCAAGGCAAATTACTCATGAGTTCATTAACGAATTAAAATGAACATTCTCTAAAGTGAGAATTGCTTTTTGTTTTCTAATACAGTCAAGATTTTCAAAGAGGTTCTGAATGAATTAAATAAAGTTCATTGGACTATTGCAACGACGACGTTATTATGAAAGAACTAAAAGTCCAACC